AACAAAGAGCAGAGGGAAATGCACATGAGAATGATTCCCACCCTGAGGCTGGCCATGGGCAGTTTAAATTCAGACCCTTTCAGAAAGCTTCATAAGGAGGCATGTCTTTAATCAGAATGACTGTGGTGGGCTTTAATATGAATAAACAGCTTTTTATTTTTTTAATGAGGGAAAACATTCCTAGTTGAGATCAAAGTTAAGAACCATACACAAAGTAAGACTGTGTTAGTTAGCATTGTTTTTCTTCTCATTCCAAGTGGTGCCTACAGGAGACCCTCATCTGAGCTACCGGTGTATAATTTTTCAGTGTACTTACTCTCACATCAGCGCTAAGAAAAAGTAAAAGGCGGGCGCCTGGGTGGCTCAGTTGGTTAAGCGACTGCCTTCGGCTCAGGTCATGATCCTGGAGTCCCGGGATCGAGTCCCGCATCGGGCTCCTTGCTCGGCAGAGAGCCTGCTTCTCCCTCTGACCCTCCCCCCTCTCATGTGCTCTCTGTCTCTCTCATTCTCTCTGTCTCGAATAAATAAATAAAAATCTTAAAAAAAAAAAAAAGTAAAAGGCATGTTTGTTTTCAAAATTGCAACCCCACATCAAATTCATAACAAAAGCTGTTCCTCAGTGGGAGTACACACGAGACGAGACACACAGCGAAGACCTGTTGCAGGTTGATGTCTGGCATCATTTAAAATATGGGACAATGGGGGCACCTGGGTGGCTCAGTCATTAAGCGTCTGCCTTCGGCTCAGGTCATGATCCCAGGGTCCTGGGATCGAGCCCTGCATGGGGCTCCCTGCTCTGCGGGAAGCCTGCTTCTCCCTCTCCCACTCCCCCTGCTTGTGTTCCCTCTCTCGCTGTGTCTCTGTCAGATAAATAAATGAAATCTTAAAAAAATAAATAAAATATGGGACAATATAGTGTTTTAGGCAGCTGTATTTCCTCTTAATCTAGACACAAAATGTAACACTGCATTTCAGATTTAGTACTTACGTTGGTGAACAAATTCAGAACACAAAAAACCCATCCTTACTTGACTTTTCTTTTCCTGACTCACTAGTCAAATTTATTATTTTTTTAAAGATTTTATTTATTTGACAGAAAGAGAGCGTGAGCAAGCACAAGCAGGGGGAGCAGGCTTCCCCGAGCAGGGAACCCAATCTAGGGCTCGATCCCAGGGTCCTGGGATCGTGACCTGGGCTGAAGGCAGGTGCTTAACCGACTGAGCCACCCAGGCGCCCCTCGTTAGTCAAATTTAGAAGGCCAGGTTTTAACAACTGCTTTTAAACCAACCTAACACCAAACTCCCAACTAGGAGATTCAGGCATGACATTATTTAGTTATGTCTCCTTTTGGTCCTAGCCTTATATTTCCAGTTCATTCTTGACTTAAAAAAAAAAAAAGCAATATAAACATTCTAGAGTTAAACCAGCTTCCCTAGGATATAAATTATTACTCTTCTTCTCAGCCTCGGATTGATTTTTGTTTTTTGTTTTGTTTTGTTTTAAAGATTTTATTTATTTATTTGACAGAGAGAGAGATAGCGAGAGCAGGAACACAAGCAGGGGGAGTGGGAGAGCGAGAAGCAGGCTTCCTGCCGAGCAGGGAGCCCCATGTGGGACTCGATCCCAGGACCCTGGGATCATGACCTGAGCCGAAGGCAGACGCTTAACGACTGAGCCACCCAGGCGCCCCTGATTGATTTTTGTAATGATTATTGCCTATCAACTTCGTAGCAGAACAGCAATTAAAAGCTTAAATGTAAATTGAAACTGATAAATTATTACTGCTCAAGAGCACTCAAAATTGTTACTCTTGGTTACTTGGCACTGTGCTTTTCTAGAGACAAAAACACAGTGAGTGGAGGGACATCCTGTAGCCATTTCTAGGTTATCACGGGTGGTAAGGTGTTTTCAATACTACATTCTTCTCCAGCCTGCACTCCTTCCAAAACAGTATATTGGATTCTTTTCCCTGTCCAAACGGAGTATCTGCTAACCTTAGTGTAAGAAGGCTATTTCAAGTGTTTAATGCTGTGTCAATATGTGCCAAACAATAACTCAACATCCAATTTATCTAGCACTTGCATTACTAGCAACAACTGCTAAACCATGCTTCGGTGGCTATATTAGAAAGGCAAGTCTGTTCATATTTTATTGCAAATCTAAATTTTTAGATTTTGCTTTTTAATTAAAAAGCCCAACCTTGGGGCAAAAGAGAAGGCTAACTGCAACCTAAGAAAGAGCTTGGTATGTATTTTTTCTTCTTTTTTTAAAGATTTTATTTATTTATTTGACAGAGAAAGTCACAGCGAGAGAGGGAACACAAGCAGGGGGAGTGGGAAAGGGAGAAGCAGGCTTCCTGCAGAGCAGGGAGCTCGATGTGGGGCTCGATCCCAGGACCCCGGGATCATGACCCGAGCCGAAGGCAGACGCCTAACGACTGAGCCACCCAGGTGCCCCCGTATTTTTTTCTTTAAGTCAAAATCTGTCATGAGAGACAGTAAAAACTTGGTATTTAACACTGACTCAGGGAGGCGCCTGGGTGGCTCAGTCGGCTAAGCGTCTGTCTTCAGCTCAGGTCATGATCAGGGGGGTCCTGGGATCGAGTCCTGCGCCGGGCTCCCTGCTCAGGGGGGAGTCTGCTTCTCCCTCTGCCCCTCCCCACTGCTCGTGCTCTTTCTCAAATCTTAAAAAAAAAACAACCCACAAAAACTGACTTGGTAGCTTTAGCTTGTAAGTCTTTAGCACATTCATGGTCTTAAGTCTTTAAGTCAGACTTCCTAAAGGAAGATGTTAGCCTTTGGGGAATCTGTGTAAGACCTGTTTTGTAGTGAAAAAATTTATCCTAAATGCTTAAGACACTCTGAAAGTAGATGGCTGAAAGAACTAATTAATAGTCCTACTGATGAATATTTTCAGTAAGGGAAGGTACTCACCAAATTTGAGCAGTCACCATCTAGATTTCTGTTTTTAAACACACAGCTTGAAAAAACTCTTTGCCTATTCACCCAACAGAACACACTAATTTATATCAAGAACTAGGTCGGGGACACATCCTGAACATCTAGAGGCCTTAGGAAAATGGATTACCAAGGGCTTTTCCTCAACACACACTGAGCCCTAACTGTCGACCTGTTTGCTTGGTGCCCTGCACGTTAAGTGCTTCCTCCTGCCAACAGCCGAGGTGGAAGCAGCAGTTGGGTCCGAAGGCAAGGGGATTCTGAACCTTCGTGATGCAACGCTTCCTTCACTCTAAGACACCAGACTTAAGACCCCCAAGTTATCTTTACTTCTGAATTCCAAAGGTGTACCCCGTGTTTTAGTTGAGTGGGGAATTACATGAGAATTTGACCGATCCGGAGGGTGATGTACAGCAACACTCTTAATACATTTCCAAATCTTCACGCGAGGGAATCCCTCCAAAGGACTCCTGGAAACTCTCACAGCATCCAAAGCATTCATTTTGAGTATTTTAACATCTATACAGTTGAAAACAGAAAATGAATACGACTCTTGCTATCTTGCAGGTGACCCCCACCAGGGTACCTTTGGGGACGAATAGTGAGAAGGGGAAGGAAACCAATTGTTACACTTGTTCTCACCCAGGGAGTGCTTTGACAGACACGCAGTGAGGCCTGGGCAGCAGCAGAATACTGGTGCGGAGTCTGCTCGGTGTCTTAACTGTAGTGTGTGTGGAAAGAAAACTGGAGGCTCGGACGCAGAACCATCTCAAGAGAACCGCTTATACAGGGCACTCCTGTAATAGTTTGAGGACTCCTCAAAGGTTCAGTTCCATGAGACTTTTTCTTCATAAACAACTTGTAAATTGGCCAGCTTTATTGCTAATTACACATAAAAACAGGATTTCTCTATACCGCTAGGTTAATGGAAAAATAAGCCACACGAGAAAAGCCCAACACAATGAAAAACTTCTATTTCCAGATATTAAAAAAAGGAGGTATTCGCCATGGGTTACTACGAAATGGGATTGCCCACATTTTGATACAATCCCTGAAATTTCAGTCTGTAATTTTGCTTACTGGGGCACCATGTAGTAAGATGGCATCTTTGGATGAAATGTGGTATATTTAAAATGTTGATGGAGCACAAGGAGATGACCTCTCATTTTCAGAAGACAGTTAAAAGCATTCCCACTATACTCTGGAGTCTTATAGTTTAAATGGACTTGCCTTTCAAATCAAGTGATTTTTATATGGGTCTGAAATTTATGGACAGAAGTTTGTGGTTGAAGAAATTCCCTTTGAGACTTTTATCCCTAAAGAAAATGATTTATGAAAACCTTTTATGTAACCCCCAACTTTAAATGTTTAGGTATATAGATAGTAAAAGTTTAACTGTGTTGTTAATTTTTTACCGACCTGTAAGTTGTCAGTTCAAAATATCGGTGGCTATGTACATTTTCATTCAATTAGGTGTATTCATGTAGCTAAGAATAAAGTTCAAATGGTTTAATCCAAGTGCAGTTTTCCAAAATGCAGAACGGTGGTTAAGTATCAGTCTTTTGATTCTATTTTTCAGAAATGTACAAATCTGAGCTAGCTCTTTAGCAGTACCCCAACTTAAAGGACACACCAACCAACAGGCTTCTGTGGCAATCCTATTTCTTTGGAACACTGCAACAAAGAATTGCTTTTCAGATACTAAAAAGCAGAGCAGATGCAATCTGCTGGAGAATTAACTGAATTGTCACTTCTAGGACTCCTCTTAAAACGGGACCTGCTGCACTTCTGATATTTAAATGAAACTTGAAACACCAGAGTGTTTGCCAAATCTCCATTTTAGACTGAACTGTTAAGTCAGCAATTAGATCACAACTCAATTTTTGAACTGCTTAGATGTGAATATACTTTGGAGATACAAAGGAGGGCCAAATTCCTCTATTTGTAAACACTTCCCTTTTTAAGATCCCATTAAATCTATTACACCTCTAATTTACCTCCGTTTAGATATCTATTTTAATAAATAAAAGGGAAAGCCGAAAGTTAATTTATAAAGTTTTATTTTTGTATATGTGCTAAATCTTAGGAACTGTGGACAATCTTCAGTCTGTTGGCTTGTAAAAGGCTGAGAAGTGTGTGATCTGGGTGCTGAATTTCCTTTGGGGAATCTGGATTTCAAAAAAAAAAAAAAAATCACTCATTTGCAAGTTTAAAACATGGTGCACCTTTCCCCTTTTTCTTACACCTATGAATTTGGAGGAAAAGTGCTACATTTCTGCAAATGTAAAATAATTGTTATAAATACAGTCGGCAGCAAGTTCTTAATACATTTAGCACTTTTTGTAGTGATGTATCACACCCAAAACCTTATTTTCAAACACTAAACACTCATGTAGGTGCAGGACCAATTTTAGTTGAGCACCACTAGAAAACCAGTACTACTTTTTTTTTTTTCCTTAGTAACACAAAAAACGGGGTGGGGTGGGGCGGGGCGGGGCGGGAAGGAGGTTGTTTTCCTTTCTCTGCAGTATGTAGTACCTTCCAGCTAGAGACAGACAAAGTTGGGCACTTCTTACAAGGAAAAGGCAATTTTCTTATCCAGTTAGTTAGAATTCTAAATAAGGCAGGATATATCCACCAAATTAACCACAAAATTCAGCAAAGTAAGAGTTCATGGGAGAACAGAAGCTGGAAAAATACCAAGAAAAAGTAAAAGGAACCATTTTGTTGGAGTAGTCATCAGAAAGTTCACAGACTATTGCTTTCATTTACAAACGTAATTTCAGTAAAAAAGGCTCTTCTTCTTTTTAACCACTACTAGGATTAAATAAGTTATCATTCACTAATAAAAGTTAATCATGAAAAAAATAAAACATTTTAATAATTCTAAATTTGTATATAACAGCTAAAAGACACAAGGTTGTGAAATTATGTTACTTCTGCCTCTACAATGCTGAGCATGAAAATTTGGTTGGTGGAGGGCTTAGAAACAGCAGCGATACGGTTTTTACGAAGTTGTGCACGGAAATACTTCGATCCAACAGGGCAAAGCCCTTGTTCACAGATTAACGATGAAAATAGCTTTAGTCTTTATGTTAACAGATTCTATGGTCTTCTATGAAGTTATCATGCCATTTAGAATCCTGGGGGGGTACTTCTTTGAAAGGAAGACTAGTGATTCTGAAACAAACATTTAAAGTACGAATTATATATATGGCTCAAGAAATCAGTTGAGGGAGAATTAAAGATAGGCACCTTGAAGACTTGGAAGTTTAAAATGTGCCATTGATGTTCAGAAAAAAACCTCAACACCACCACGTTGCTCTTACAATAACATGCGCCTTAAAATTTCCGCTTATATGTTAATGCTTGCTTAAGAAGTTAAATAGAGAAAACAATTCACACAAACAAAAATAAACCTCCCTGTTCACTTTCCCTTGATCCTGGGGACAACACAGAAGCTCTTCCACAAATGGAGGGAAAAGGATTCACAAGCCCTCACCTGGCACAAGGGGAATTGTCAATTCAAAGCAACCAAGATGGGATCGCCCTCCAAGGAGAAAAATTCACAGCCTTTTCAAATGTCAAGTTTTTCATGTCTAGGAAGTCATTAAAGTTTTTAAATTAAGTATATCACATACTTTGTTAAGGAGCGGGAAATACAAAAACCACCTCTCCTCATCTGGTGAGAAGGTGTATTTAAGGATAGCAAATTGTCCAAATAAAGTCAACCTATTTTGCTCATTGCTAAAGAGGCCTGGAATTGAGGAACTTTCAAATTAAAACTACCAACTGGAATTGCGAAGTGTGTAGGACTTTTGCTCAAACTTAAACTCAGATGTAATATACTTAAGGTAAAAACAGGATCTGTCTGGTGTCAAAATTTCCTAATATTACAGAAAACCTAGAAGCACAGATGGGACTATAGAGTACTGCAAATAAGATACCCAAAGCTTTATCTTAAATACCTGCCCCTTTTAATCACAAAATAAAGCAATTCTCAATTTTGTTTCTGCTTTGTTCAGTTCCAACTATAGCCTTTGACAAAACATTTTCCTATTTAACTAAATTGTAAAAAATACAACCAAGCTTGTGCTCATTAAATATACATGTATATAAAAAACATACAAAAAGTACAAGATTGATTATGTTAGGAAACTTTTACAGTGTCAACATCCTGTTTTCTCTAAATCTTTAGTCAAGGGCCAAAGGTCAAATCTTTCTGTGCACAAAAACTCGATGTGACTGAACTCCTGAATTCAGTGTCATGCCTAAGCACGCTATGCACAGAATTTTATTATGCAGTCCTCAAAAAAAAAAGGACAAAAAAAGGAAAAAAAAAAAAAAAGGAAAAAAAAAAAACCAAAAAACCAAAAACCAACCCAAAAACAAAACCAAAAACACACCACAGGACAAAAAGTTCTTCATAAATCAAATTCTATTTGTGAATTCAGCAAAATAATTTCTATAAAATAAAACAGCAAAATATTTAAATAGAATAGGGTGGACTGTATCTGCAGGGGTATTTGGTTTTTAGACAGGTTCCAAAAATTACACACATTCAAGTTACCAATTCTCTTTTAAGTACAGTATTAACTGATGAGTTCCTTATCTTTAATTAAATGTTTATACTGAAATTATGATACCTCAATTAGATTAACTAACCAGTAGTTTCCTTTTTAATCAAGACCCTGCTTCGAACATTCAAAGTTTTGGAATAATGGAAAAGGAGCTAGGACAATTCTTGCTTTCAAGTAAAACTGTGCCTGAGCAGAAACTCAGCTAGACATCTTGGTGCAGTGGCGCTCCAAGTATTGTGGGATTCTGGTGACTTCCACTTCACTGGGGTCCAGCAGAAGGAAAGTTTTAGAAGATTCACCTAATAAGCTCTACCAAAGAAACAAAACAAGCACACCAAATACAGTCTTCTATTATGCTCCAAGCATCCTGGCATAGCAAATTTTTGCATATTTGTTTTAAATCTTTAAAAATTCCCATTACTGATACTTAAATTTCTTTATCCCACCCAGAGATCAAACTGTCAAACATTAGACATAAACAACATGTGTGTAACTGAAAACCGCCTGTTTATCATATCACATTTCTCCCCTTGTTTTATATTTATATTCTAGGTGTAAGAAGGAAAAGCTCTGAGCAAATCAGCTGTCACACCGGGACAACTGCTGTCATTATGGTAATTTTGTTCCTCATTGGCTACACTAACCTGGTGTGAAGCCATGCTAAATGTTACAGCATAACTATAGCTTCAAAGTGATTAACCTAATATCAGAATTAAAAAGGCAATGAAAAAGATCTAGAAACAATGTTACATCACCAATTGTCCACATCAACCAAATAATTTAAAGGTTACCAGCCTTACATCATTGCTCATAGTAAAACTGACTCCAGTGGCAAAGAATTAACATGAAACTATTGGTGTGGTTGACATGGATGGGCTCTGTTTTGTTGCTGTTGGTTTATTTTTTTTTGTTTTTGTAAAGGAGTAGATCCAACTGCCATGAGGCAGGCAACACTGGTTGCAGAGTGCAGTGGGTAGAACAAGAAAATTAACTTTTGTAGTTTTTGTAGATCTGTGAGTCTCCTCAAGAAAAGTTTCTTGCTTAAGAATTAACAGTCAAACATTAATATACTATATACACCTTTGCCATTTACACATTAGCATCAGGCCATTTATTACAAAACACTATACACTTTCCACTGCAGGCGGGTTATATATTGACAGCAAATTTCTGCAGATAAGACAGTGAATAAACTCTCCACTCCATGTTGATTAGGAATAGTTTTTCTAGTTTTAAGTTATTAGCCAGACACAGAAAAAGGTTGGACTGTAAGGCCTGGGTGCACAGTCTTGATGGAACCAGTTAATTATGTGCATTTCACTGATCCTTCGTCTGAGGTGGGGATACTTCTTCACTGCCTTCATAATTTTCTTGTGCTCGTTGGCCAGTTCTCTGAGGGTTGTTCATGTGATGTGCTGCTGGGCCTGTATATGGCTGTCCATGCACATGGTTATTCTGGGAGGGGAGAAGAGATCGATGTTAAAACTTCTTATATAGTGAAGAAATCATGGGCTGAAATCTGTGGACACATAAACATTTCTTTTATTCCCGAACTTACAAAGAGTAAATATCCTTAGGCTAATGGTGAAAAAGAAAAAAAAAAATTCGTTTCAAAGAGGAAAGCTAGGGACACCTGGGTGGCTCAGTTGGTTAAGCGTCTGCCTTCAGCTCAGGTCATGATCTCAGGGTCCTGGGATCCAGTCCCACATTGGGCTCCCTGCTCAGTGGGGAGTCTGCTTCTCCCTCTCCCCTCTACTGTTCCCCCTGCTTATGCTCTCACGCTGACAAATAAATAAAATCTTAAAAAAAAAAAAGCTAGCTTAAATGCAAACCCCGAAACCCCAAACAAAAGCAGTGTAGATCTCTATAAATCTTTACCTGAAGTGATTTTTAGTGCCCGAAATTATTTAGACCTAAGTCCAACAAATAAGGGATTACATCCTGTTATTGTTTATTGTCAAAAACACTCACAATGTGATTTGTGAGTTAGAACACATTTATTCTGACTCTTCCAAGCACCTGGAAGCTTCTATATGAGAATGACAAATCTGACTGATTGTGGTCATATGAGATCTGCATTAGCAACAACCCTGAACACAGAATGGTGTTAATGAAAACAATACAGTATTAAAGAAACATGGACGAGCCAGGCATGATTAATATATGAGCTTTCTCAGGGCCAAGGAAAGTTAAGTTTCTTCCTTGTGAATTTCATTTCTTAACCCTTTAAACCCACGAACCCTCATTTTTCTGTATATTCCCACCAGTCAAGAAGATTTTAGGTCTTTCTATAATTTGTCCTATGAAAATAAATATGTGGAATATGCATTTTCTAATTATTGAGTATGCTTCTATTTCCACCCCCCCGCCTTTTAAAGTAGATTCCACGCCCAATCTGGAGCCCAACTTGGGCTTGAACTCACAATCCTAAGATCAAGACCTGAGCTGAGATCAAGAGTTGGACCCTTAACCAGCTGAGCCACCCAGGCACCCCTCCATCCTGAAATATAAGAAAGAATGTCTTAAATAATGGTTCTGAAAGTATGGCTTCCAGACTAGCAGCAGCATCAACTACCTGGGAAAGAAATGCAGATTTTCTGGTTCCACCCCAGACCTAAATGAATCAGAAACTTGCCATCTGTACTGGAACAAGCCCATCAGGGGATTTTTTTTTTTAAAGATTTTATTTATTTATTTGAGAGAAAGCACGAGCAAGGGGAGAAGCAGGCTCCCCGCTGAGCAGGGAGCCCAATGTGGGACTCGATCCCAGGACCAACTGAGCCACCTAGGCGTCCACACCAGGGGATTTTGATGCTTATTCAAGTTTGAGCATCACTGCCCCAAAAGATCTGAATTAGTCACCTCTGGGTTTTAGAAAGGTTATCTAAATTTTTTTTATTTACTGATCTTACAGGAAATTTTACGGCAATCTATCAAATCCTTGATATTTGTCAACAATCTTGAGTGTCACTGAAGTCTTAGTTAGGCTATGTAACCTAGAACAGTTTCCTTCATTGCCACATCTTCAAGTCTTTGGAATCCATTTGCAGACTCAGCCTAACAGGAAATGTCCTAATCCTTTGTACTAAATACTATCACTTTATGTTGACCACAACTGCCACAGTTTTACTAAGTTCTGAGTACAAATGACAGGCACCTATTTGACCAGGAAAACACCATAGGGGGAAGTTCAAACACATCGCATTGTGACCCTGCCCCAGCTATTCCTCTTTTGTTCATGCTCTAAAGGTAGTCTTGATAATCCCTTTATTACTTTGCAGTCACAACAAAAAATTCAGCCATCCTCTAAATAAAGCATAAAAATTGGTTCTAGGGGATAAAAACACAAACCAACCCCTATTTACCTGTTGATACTGAGATCCAGGTGAATGGGGGTATAATGGGGCATCTTCAGGTGGAGGTGACTCATGCTCATCTGGGGCATCTTGGTCATCTGGCTCCTAATTTTAAATATTTAAAAATAAAGAATTATGTAGGCAAATTCATGTTTAAGTTTTTTGTATTTGAAATAAAATTTTAAAAACCTACAAAACTGACTCACAAGTTTCCTTCTACAGAAGATAAATTGAAACATGAAAAAACCTGATTTGGGTTCTCTTCAGAAAGACTACATTTCGGGCAGTTTCAGAAATTTCTCTAAAAGAAGGCTTCCTCATTAACTTAAGATTACATATAGTAAACACTAAAGCAAATAAAACCTAAACAAAATTTCTTTGACATTATCATTAATACATAAACACTGGCCTATAAAGTAACAAATTGCTTTCTTCCATTTTTTTTTTTTTTTTTTTTACCTCCTCTGGACAGAGTTCACAAGCTTTTGCAAGTGTCATCCTAGCACTATGTGATCTCTCCAAGAAATAACCATTTGATGTTTCATTGCTCTGCACTGGGGGAGACCAGTTGTTGTAAGTGTATTGAGGGTTGCCAGTGTATGGTCGTCTTTCAAGTTCATCTCCAAGCCATTCCACTGCCCAGGTCCACTTTCTTTTAAGATCTCCGTTGCCCTTCAAAAGAAAAGAAAACCATGTATGGAAAAGGTTTTGGAATACTTCTTAAAGTTAACTTAAAATATTAACTCCAAATTCTCATTATTCTTTTCTTTAAAATGGAATCCCTAATTCTGATTCAGACTTCTACAAAATTTTAAGAAAAAACCCTCACCTGCAGAATCTGGTAAGCAACAGGACAATTGCTAAAAAGAGCTACCATACATTTTATACACTGATATGCTCTTTTTTGATAGTGATTCTTAGAGCGCTGGATTGTGTCAAACAGCCCATCTCGGTCATCTGGGATTCCTTTAAGTGCGTTATGAATTCTGAAAAAGAGCCAAATATAAAATTAAAACTTGTAAAATCAAATAGCAGCCAACATTTACTGAGTGCCTACTATGTGCCACTCAATAAAGATCTTTGATGTCATGTCATCTAATGCTGGACAGGAGGTACTGTTATCGAGCCTCTGAACAGATAAGAAGAGGGGTACAGAGAGGTTAAACAGCTTGCCCAAGGTCATACAGCCACTTAGCAGTCTGTGCTCTTACCAACTTGTTACCAATCCAAAATGATTTTGTTATGTATGTAATTCAAAGACATTACCAGAAGTGATTTTAGGACACCAAGAGTAACACAGACAAAGTCAACTAACAACTAAGTTTATGACTGCTGTACCTAAGAGTTTGCTTCAAGTCAGTTCCTTTTATAAAACTGCATTTCGGAAAGTAAGTAACCCGTGACTATGAAGTGGTGATATAATTTGGAAGTACAAAACGAACTTGAATTCTAATAATGAGCTATAATACGGCAAAGCAATTTTCACCATTACTACAATTTAGCTGATGGGCCAATGATGGATGATTTCCTTTCAGTTCTTGCCAAGCCTAACAGAATAATATATAATCAGTGATTTCTTGTTCTCCCCAATAAGCAATTTAAAAAAAGGACTGTAGGGGCAAACTGTGCCTGTTCCCTTTGTGTTAAAAGCATCACCTGCCAGTAAACAAAATGTGGTATATACACACAGTGGAATATTATTCAGCCTTAAAAAGGAATGAAATTGAGACACATGCTACAATGTGTATTATTATTATTATTTTTTAAAGATTTATTACTTTAGAGAGTGAGCAAGTGAGCAGGGGTGGGGGGCAAAGAGAATCTCCAGCAGACTCCCTGCTGAGCATGGAGCCCAACATGGGGCTGGATCTCATGACCTTGAGAGATCATGACCTAAGCAGATATCAAGAATTGCACACTTAACTGAGCCATCCAGGCGCCTCTACAACATGTATGAGTCTTAAAAGGCATTAAGTAAAATAAGCCAGATAAAAGAGGACAAATATTGTACGATTCTACCTATATGAGGTACTTAGAATAGGCAAAATCAAAGAAAAAATCATAGTTACCAGGAGTGGGGGGAAAAGGGGAATGGGAAGTTATGGTTTAATGGGTAGAGTTTCAGTCTGGGATAATGAAGAAGTTCTGGAAATGGATGGTGGTGACGGTAACATAGTATTATGAGAATATACTTAATGCCACTGAACTGCACACTTAAAATGGCTAAAATGGTAAATTATGAACATTTTACAATTTGAGTACAAAAAATAATAAAAAATTTACCTGCCTGCAATTCTGAGGTTTATCCGAGAGAATTGAAAACAGATGTTTAAAAACAAATGACATGTACGTGAATGTTCACAGCAGCATTATTCACAATAGCCAAAAGGTAGAAAACCACCCAAATGTCTAACACAAAAGGACATTTTGTATGATCCCATGTATCTGAAGAAGTGCCCAGGCAAATTCTGGACATTTTGCCTAGCCTATGGTCAGGCAAATCCATAGAGACAGAAGCAGATTAGTGGTTGCTGGGGGATGGGAGGTAATAAGGAGTGACTACTTAACTGGGTATGGGGTTTCCTTCTGGAGTGATGAAAATGTTCTGGAATTAGAGTGGTAATGGTTGTACATTGTGAATGTACGAAAAGCCACTGAACTGTATTCTTTAAAGTGATTAAAATGGTGAATTTTGTGAGTTTTATCTCCACAAAGAAACATTACCTGTGTAGTCCATAATTTAAAAATAAACCAAAAACCTTATATACCATAAATTTTATTTAATAGAATGTTCCAAACCAAAATGCAAGCTTGTTTTTTGCGTTGCATGCATTCATAAGATCTTTTGTTTGGAAATCAGCAATTCTGCAAGGTTTACTAATTTCAGACCAATCATACAGGCCTCTTGCTGTTTAATCGGAAACACTTCAGTGTATATTGTTTTTACCTTCAGTTTGGTCAAGTGATAATGAAGTGTTAAGCCATTCTTTCTGCCACATCACATTTTCTTCCCATTAGTTTTAACTGCTTTCAAATACTATTTTTATCTGTATCATCCTTGCCTGCCTTGTTCTCCAATGCCTGGTAGTGCCAAGCACATGGTAGATACTCCATAAATATTTAAACACTGCTTATCGAATGAACCAAAAGCTCACTATGAGAAAGTTATTTTCAAGCTTGGGCCAGTGATTCATAATAACAATACCTTACCTATTTCATTACACAAAAGTCAACTGTCTGTTTGTCTGTCTGTATTTATTTATTTATTTATAGATTTTATTTATTTGACAGAGAGAGACACAGCGAGAGAGGGAACAAGAGCAGGGGGAGTGGGAGAGGGA